CAAACAATATATATATATATATATATATTGGAATTTCAGTTCAGAAGCATTGTGGTACTTGTGTTCTACATTTTCTTCATGTTCACTGTGTAACAGATGACTCGCCGTATAAGCCTCTCGTCACTTGGTGGGGCATAGGGAATTATTTTATTTGTTGAGGAATTCTCCGTTTGCATCTTTTTTCATCTTGAACACGACCTGATATATTAGCCATCTAAAATATATCTAAAGATCTAGCTGAAGGTGTATTAACAGTTGAGTGTTTTCCATTTTTTTTTAGTTGAAGACGGGGAAGTTTTTGACTTCAGAGGAATGAGGTTGGATTGGTTCAGACTGCAGGTAATGTGCATTTTTATTTCATTTTTTTTAGAGACTCAAATACAGTTATCTACTTTTACCTACTTTTTACATCAAGAAAATGAATGAAGGCACAACTATGGAAGCTCATTAATAAATTTGCATTATTATTGCACTGCATTTATATATTTTCCTAATCATATCTAAGAGGACTACATTAAATTTACTTTCACAACAATGTTTGCAAAACTTTGCAACAATGCATATAAACATGGCGGCTAAGGAATTGGAGCGGTGAGATTTCCTTTGGCTCTACAAATGCATATAAACAATTTTATTTGCATGTAATATATAGTTACAATTGAAAACTGATTTTCTTTTTCCAAGTTAGTGTTAGGAGTAATACAATTGTGAAATAAAATAAACAAGTGCATAATGAAAAATAGTTGACTATCAAAAAGATATTAAAATAAACTATTCTAAACCTTTTAAACATTCTGTATTTGGTAGCCATGCCAGTGACATTGCAATGTCATACAGGACTAGTGCAGTGTTTTTTTTCTTTCTCTGCTCCCAGCATCCAGTGAAATCAAGTTCTTGTTTAAGGTCTGGCTATAGAAAGACCTTACTGTTGCTTACTGTTTAAATCTCAAATAAAAAAAAAAAAAGCCCAGCCATTTAAAAAATGAAAAATGCAGCGCCCAATGCAATACTCACCTCGACTCCAGCATTGTATGCAGGACATTGGTTGCCAGTCCACTTCCAGGCTGAGCAATGTCCAATATCATTAAACCCACTTTTTGTTAACTTGGGGTCTTATGGACGCCTCATAAAGGATATGTCACCACCTCAAACTGGTCTCACTTGGAGAATGCTGCAGTGAATGGCATTTTCATCACACTGTTGATACTGTTCTCTAAAGCCCACCACTGCCACAGGTAGAAAAGAGAGAGCACCTGAGAACTCGCATGATTTTGCAGAAAACTTAGAGATGGTCTTTAAATCGTGTTGGTGTTTTTTTGTGTGTGCAGAAATAGGGAAGTGAATGCTGTCTTTTAAGGCTTGAGATTACTGCATGGTTTGGCATTGGACTATGATAATATCTGGCCTTGTTAAAATATCTGTAAATCCCCATTCCAGGTTCATGGCAGTTTTGCATATTCGAAAAAGAGAAATCCTTTTTCAGTATCTTCTTAATCTATTTTCAAATAATTGCAAATGCCCAAAGCTGATCTTCTGTATACCTTTACCAATGCTACCAATCCTTCCTATTTCTCCCCTCATTGTAACTATTATTTTTTGGCATTAAACTTTACATTTTAGTGGCATTAAAGTCACAAATCTTTTTCTCCCCCCACCATGCTGCTTTTAAGGACTTACTTTAAATGATGCCTCTTGATCTGATCATCATCTTCCTTCCACTTGTATTCAGCAATCCCTCCAGCTCTGGTGCTGGTCTTCTGTGTCCCACGGTGCCTGTCCAATGTGCACGCTCCTAGCTGCGTGCATTGACTGGCACTGAGTTTCTCCTTCTCCCCGCCAAAGATCTCTACTGCGCATGCACCCGCTTGAGAAGCTCCTGATCTTCAGACTGGAGCGAGCGGTGGTGACAGAGGAAAGTCATTACGTTTTTTGGTAACTTTTTTTTTTTTTTTTTTTCCAATTTTTTTTATTTTTCTATGTTTTTGCATACATCTACTGCTTGTTAGCAAACAAGTCTAATTATACTTTATCATTACTGGCCCCTTTTCTTTCATACCTCCCTGGACTTTGTGGGTGGGCATACAGTGGCGCCACATCTTCAAGTACCTTGTCAAACGTCTAGATTGATATGGTTATAAGAATTTAATATAAAAATATTTATTTTGAAATTGTTCTTCAGCAGTATCTTAGGCTGCTGTGACCAGCCTGATATCGGAAATGGCAAAATCTTTGCTGCTTCCGTGTTCAGTAAGCTGAGGGGAGATACGCCACTGGAAGTAGGTGGACAAGCCACACTCACCCGGGATGCCAATCCCGGGCCTCATGAGGGATAGCAGAGACCAGTATAGCCAATGTTAGCACACTTTCTAGCAGTATACAAGTGATCAGGCGCCTCTACAGCCTTCCCAATTACTTGCATGTGAAAGGCGACTGTCAAATGAAAAGAACAGTACCAAAGTGACTGCTGCTGCAGCTGTGATCTTGGTGTAACCATTTCAGGACTGCTGTTTTATATACTGTATGTATTGTGGTCTGAATTTGTTGGATCACATACAGTCTACAGTAATGAGAAATACCTCCAAAATGTCCCCACCATCTGACCCCCTCACCCCACAGGGCAACTCTATCACCCATGTGCCAGTGCATGTAGAAGAAACCATAACCAATTTTCCTGCTCTTTCGGTCTTCAGCACTGCTCCAGAACAGTCTGCTCCCTTAGGAGGGACTGTCCCGTCCCCTGCTGCACATAAGCAAAGAGCGATAGGTTTTCAGCAACCTACTGTCCTGGCCAGTAGGTTGTAAATAGTAGCTAGCAGGCAGCGCGTGTGTGTGTGCGCGCGCCACCCATCATCAGAGGCAAGTGCTAGTGGCTGCAATGAGCCATCTAGCACCCAATGCACGGACACGGCCTGGAGCTGCGGGAGCCTGGCACTTTGTTTAAATCCTGCAGGTTAGGCAGTATTATGGTGGTTCTAGTAGAATATTTGAGGGTCCTATGGTACACCCGACAACCCCCCTGACACCACTACAGACTTTGATTGCATACCAAATTTCACAGATCAGCTGCTCTGCCTACTTGTCAGAATGTACTGCTCTAATGGCGTGTGCACTATCCATGCAGGATTACATGACTTAAAGGAGAACTATGAGGCTAGTGAAAAATCATCCTCATAGTTCGAGCCGACGTATGACAATCAAACTGTTGCACATCGGCTCAATAGATCGGGAAGTGAGCGAACACATACCATCGCTCGCTTACTTCTCAATCATCTCCCTGCAGAGAGCAGTGACTGAAGGTCACCGCTCCCTGCACGGATTCCCCCCCTCCCTGCTCCGATCCTCCAGCGCTGACTGGAGGTACGGGAGGGGGCGGGTACAGCTGGCTCTGTCTCTAGATAGGCAGAGCCCACTGTCATTCACGCAGCTGGGTGGATCTCAACAGCATTGTCGGGATATGGCTGCAGAGGTCTCTGTCTACCACGAGCTGTAGCTCGCAATATACTGAGCTTTGGGTCCCAGGAGGACGCTAGTATATTTCCTCCCAAGACGCTTAAGAGAACTATGGGGAAAAACACTTACCCCATAGTTCTCTTTTAAGGGAACTGTCCTGATTATGAGGACTTACAGGCAGGAAGTTTAATACTCAATTGTCATTGTACTGCCCACTGCTTCCTTACCTGTTGACGTGATCACGTCTGCAATATACCTGATAAAACTACACGGGATGGTGGGGGGCCCGCTCACTTTGCTATGGAGAGACACGGGACGGTGGGGGGCCCGCTCACTTTGCTATGGAGAGAGCAGTCATTAGTGTCCTCTCTTTTGGACGGGAAATTACTAATTTACAGTCTCTGAAAGATGACTTTGATCGAAGATCTGAAGAAAATGCTGATGCTTCAAGTTAAATTGAGCCAATATTATTGCCAGTTATATGTACCTAACAGACTGCTGAAATAGATTTAGCTGGGAGTGGGGCTTAAATATATGCATTATACTAAATGGAAATGTTTTTGTTTGTGTGTGCACTCGGCCATAAATTTATTTGCTGAATCCCATGTCTGTGCATGTTGAAAGGGATTTAAGAAGTATAATTTTCCAAATTATTTCACTATTTTGTCTTGTACGTGTCAGTAGAATGTGGTTGGACTTGCAGTTTTGTAAAGAAAGCACTTAAGAATTGTGTATAATGCGGTTTCATCTAGTGAAACAGGCTGAATTAAAAGGTTTAATGATTTATGTTAGCCATGGGACAGAGTTATACATGTTCACTAATTATACAGGAAAATAGCTTGGTCCTCAGTGCATATGGATTTCATCTTTCTGTCAAACCTGGCTGCCAGTCATTGTAATTTATTTGACTTGGTCTTGAATAGTAGAATAAGTGCTTTCTGACTCCTGCCAATCCATCCATTCATGAATCTGTCTAGACTACCTGACCTTATATACAAATGTATAAGCTGATTTACGTGATTAAAGGGAATGTCCAGTCTCCAATCATTTTAGTTGTAGATCTAAAATAATTCAGCTTAATGTACACATTTTTATGGTGTGTTAATGTTTAAAAAAAACATTTTTTACTATGTTTATAAACAATATGTTTTTACTATGTTTGTGTTCGTGTACACATACACAGTGGCTTTCAAAAGTATTCACCACCTTGGCATTTTTCCTATTTTGTAGCATTACCACTTGGAATTAAAATTGATTTTTTTGGGGGGTTGGAATCATTTGATTTACACGACATGCCTACCACTTTGAAGAGGCAAAATATTTTTTAGTGTGATGCAATCACAACATAGGACAAAAACAGAAAACTTGAGCATGCATAACTATTCACCCCAACAAAGTCAATATATTGTAGAGTGACGTTTTGCAGCTGCACGTTTCTTAGCTCGGCACATCTAGACACTGGGATTTTTGCCCTTTCTTTAAGGCAAAACTGCTCCAGCTTCGTTAAGTTAGATGGGTTTCACTGATTGGTGATTGGATTGAGGTCTGAGGTTTGACCAGGCCATTTCAAGACATTTAAAGGGTTTCTCCTTAAACCACGTGACTGTTGCTTTAGCAGTATGCTTAGGGTCATTGTCCTGTTGGAAGGTGAACCTCCATCCCAGTTTCAAATCTCTGGCAGACTGAAACAGGTTTCCCTCAAGAATTTTCCTGCATTTAGCGTCATCCATCATTCCTTCAATTCTCACCAGTTTGTCAGTCCCTGCCAATGAAAAGCATCCCCACACACCGTCATGCTTCACTGTGTGGCTGATGTTCCCAGGGTGATGAGAGGTCTTTCTGTTTGTGGGATGTTCAATGTTTCGGATATTTGTATGTATGTATATATG